GCGATTCTCCTGCCTTAGTCTCCCAAGTGGCTGGGACTACAGGCATGTGCCATCTCGCCCAGCTAATTTTTTGTATTTTCAGTAGAGATGGGGTTTTGCCATGTTAGCCAGGCTGGTCTTAAACTCCTGACTTCAAGTGATCCTCCGGCCTTGGCCTCCCAAAGTGCTGGGATTACAGGTGTGAGCCACCATGCCCAGCCCCCACTTTTTTTCTTAAATAACTGCCCATCTACACCTTTCCGTCCTTGTGCTCCCGAGGGCAGTGGTGATGTGTGAGTCTCATCCATTGCTGAATCTCCACTGCCCAACTCGAATCTGGTACTCAGCAGGTGCCCTGAGTCAATGTGCATCAAAGGAATGAATGATGGTGGTGGGGGGCATCTCGAGTCTCCTTGGGCTTGGGGGAACTCTTTTCTGAGAATACTCAAGATGGTTCTCAACTCAGGGGTGCTATTCCTGCCTTTCCTCTGCCCCAAACACTTTTTCCCCATCTTCATGCCTCCGCTTGGGTTTTATCTCATCAGAAAGTCCTTCCTGACCCTCCTCCATCTAAAGTAGGTACCCCTATTCTTTTCCTTCATAATTTGTAATTATATGGGGTTTTGTAGGGTTTGCTACAGTCTCCCAGGGACTGTCACTTGCTGTTTCTCTGCACCTCAGTTTCATTTGCAAAATGGTGCCAGAGTCCCATGTTGTGGGGATTCTGGGAAAGGTGTATAAATGGTTTCACTCAACACCTGATTGGTAGTTAGCATGAAACACAATGGCAGCTGTTGTGAATCTAACTAGTGAGGCTCAGTGCCCGGGGTTTTCATCACGGGCCCTCCAGCTCCTCCATCTGTGCCTGCTTTTTGGATGATCTCATCTAATCCCATGGCTTTAAATACTACCTGTTTGCTAATGATGCCTTCATTTTTACCTCTAGCCCTGACCTCTCCTCTGAGCTCCAGAGGCCTCCCCAGCCTCCCTGCTGGGACATCTCCCAGCATCTAAAACTCACCGTGATTAAAGCAAAATGTCAGATGCTCCCCTCTCCACACCCAGCCTGTTTCTCTTTCCTTCTCCCCCAGCTCAGAGAAAGACATGGCAAAACACCCAGTTGTTCAGGACAAATACGCAGAAGCCCTGCTTCTTCTCTCTCCCTCCTGTTTCTCATTGCCAAAATCTTCTGGCTCTGTCTAAAATCCATCCTCTCAAGGTATTCAACTTCCCTCCATCCCCACTGCCACCGCCTGGGTTCAAGCCACCCTCTTACGTGGTCAGATGAAAGCAACAGCCCCCACATGGGTCTCCCTCCCTTTCCTCTCACCCAGGCCACTTTCCACATAGTAGCTAGGGTGCTTGTAAAAATGCAAGTCAGGCCAGGCACGGTGGCTCTTGCCTGTTATCCCAGCACTTCGGGAGGCTGAGGCAGGTGGATCACCTGAGGTCAAGAGTTCGAGATCAGCCTGGCCAACATGGTGAGACCCCCCCCATCTCTACTAAAAATGAAAAAATGAGCCTGGCATGGTGGTGCACACCTATAATCCCAGATACTTGGGGTGCTGAGGCAGGAGAAACACCGGAACCTAAGAGGCAGAGGTAGCAGTGAGTTGAGATCGTGCCACTGCACTCCAGCCTGGGTGACAGAGCGAGACTCCCTCTCAACAAACAAACAATGACAAAACTGTCCAGTGGCTTCCTACTGTGCTCACAATTAAATCCAAATGCCCGTCACGCCCTGCAGGTGCCCAAATGATCCAATTCCCCCATTAGAAGGTAAGTTCATGAAAACAGCAATTTTGCTTGTTTTTTTTCCCCCCACCAACTGCTGTACCCCCAGGGCCTGGCACATATGAAGTGCTCAATTAAACACTGGCTGAATGCACCTGGCTATTGGATGGCCACACGCTGGGACGGGGTGGGGGGGGGGATGCCTGTGTCACCTCCTGCCTGACATCTACAAGACACCCTCGGGGTCTGGTTGCATCTGCTGTTCATTCACGGCGTAGACTCACGGTTTTTTGCAGTGGGCCGCTGTGAGGACCCACAGTGGATGGATAAGGACGCCACCGCAGAGCAAGTGGCCCGAGGTGTAGAGGGCAGCTTGGTAGGGGTGACGCGTCTTTTCGCAGGGTCCGCCATGTACCAGCTTATTCTGCTCCTCTGCCCAGGCTGAGGGAGAGAGGCTCTGAGTCAGAGAGAAGGTTGGGAGAAACCAAGTGCACCCCCTCCAGGTGAACGCCCATCAAGGTTGCTCAGGTGCAGTGGCTTGAGGCAGGAGGATTGCTTGAGCCCAGGAGTTTGAGACCAGCCTGGATAACACAGTGAGACCTCGTCTCCACTAAAAATCAAAAAACTTGGTCGGGTACGGTGGCATACGCCTGTAGTCCCAGCTATTTGGGAGGCTGAGGTAGGAGAATCCCTTGAGCCCAGGAGTTCGAGTCTGCAGTGAACTATGGGTCATGCCACTGCACTCCAGCCTGGGAGACAGGGGGACCCTGTCTCAAAAAAGAAAAAAAAAGTTGCTCTGTATTCCCACCCCCAAACTTCCCATTCCCATCACGAAGCCAGGCTCCAGCTTTTCAACCTACCTCCTACCTCTTCTCCGTCTACAGCCCCACCCCTAAAGCCAACCCACCCCTGAACCCTCATATCTTCGCCCGCCCGTCCCACCGAATTCCCCATCTGTGTTCCCCACCCTTAGCCTAATCCCCAATGTCGTCCTCATTTCAGACCCCCACCCCAACGCTGTGCGTATCCCCATCAACAAGCCCGATCCCATCGGCAAGCCTCCCCCTTTCCAGTGTCCTTTCCCCACCTGCAGCCATCAGACTCAGCACCACCAGCAGCTTCTTCATGGCCGCTCCTGAGAGGGGAAGCCACACGCTCCATTAGTCATGGCCTCAACCCTGCCCCATCTCCCTCTGCCTGCTCCCTCCCCATCCTCTCGGTTCTGCCAGGCCTGCTACCATCTCCGGCCTTGACATCTGTCCTTCCCATCTAGCCTCCTGATTTCTTCTTTCCCAACCCACGTCTTTCATCAGAGGGACCCACACAAATAGTGCCAAAGAGAATCCGAAACTATGTCTGTGGGTCCAGTGACTCACAGTGAGATTCTGATTAAATCTTTCTAGTTTCTTGAGCTCTCATTTGCCTTCCTGTTGAAAGGAGAGGGTTACCCTAGGGGGCCCTAGCGTTCTTCCTCTCTTTGGGAGCTTTCCCCTGCACCTGGCTCTGTGCTCTCCAGTCACCACCCCGCCCACCCCTATAGGTTCTGTGATACCCGTGATCTTACCTGCTGTAGGCCACTGGGCCTCCGGGCCTCCGGGGGTTCTTGAGTTGGGGAAGGGAAAGCTTCGAGACAAGGAGGCAGAAAGAGTCAGAAATGCAGGGAGCCGTGGGGAGAGAAGACACTCAGAGGCAGTGACAGAGCCAAGCAGAGGACGCAGGGACTGCAGCACCCAGGGCTGCAGGGACTGCCAGACTCACACCCCCGACTCTTGGGCTTCCTTGAAGGAGGCTGCTTCTGTCCCCAGATGCTTCTGCGACTTCCTTTTAAACACCCCCATCTCCCCAGGTCCCTGAGCCAGGAGATTGGTTCCACCCTTTTCCTCCTTACCCAGGCCTCCCACACACATTCCTCCTGCCCCCACGCTGTGCTCCTGCTGACCCCTGACCAGGCCTCCAGGGAGGGGAGCTCTGGGCCCTGAGTGCAATGAGGGCCTGGACTCCTGGGTCTGATGGAGGAGGGACTGAGGGGCTGGGGGCCTGGACCCCTGGGTCTGAGGGAGGAGGGGCTGGGACCTTAACTCCTGGGTCTGAGGGAGGAAGCACTGGGCCCTGAATCTGAGGCAGAGGCAGTTCTAATCTGCTCAGTCCTTAGACCTCCAGGTTTCGGAGAATGAAAGTGTCTGAAGACTGAAATTCCAGCCTCTGGGGCAAGCAGATGGTGCCCCGGGCCTTCCTGCACCCCTAGCGCTCTCTGTGCCACCTAGGGACCTGCAGGCCCTCACTCCAGGCTCCAGAGCCCTCAGGTACTGGGAACCAGCCTGCCCGGGTTCAGTAGGGTTGGGGTGACTCACACACCTGCCCGTAAGTCCCTCTGTGTGCTGCCTGCTGACCTCCGTGTCCCCAGGAGAGAGCGAGCCAGCCAGCCAGGGAGACAGCATGTGACACCACACTGTCCCCGCCCCTGCCCCAGGCTGGGGAGCAGGCCCAGGCGCTGTGGGGAAAGGGCCCAGGAACAATCGGGCTTTGTCCGCCCCTAGCACCCCAGTGCCATGCTCCCAGCAGCTCCGTGCCTCAACCTCTCTTCTGGCGGGCGGGTGGCCACATCAATGGCCTCCCATTGTCACTGTCTGACATACCTCCTTTGCAGCCTCTGACTGCCCAACATTTCGGCACTCCTCACCCTTCTGGTCCTTCTTCTCCAAATCTGCCCGCCTCTGAGGCCTCTTGCTCCATCTTGTCTCCCAGCCATGGAGAGGAGGGGGCTTCTCTCTCTCTCTCTCTCTCTCCCCTCCATCTCACTCTCTGTATTTGTGTCTCTCCACCTTTTTCTCCACTTTGTTTTGTCCTGTCTTTCTCTGTTTTTTTTCTCTCTCCCCCCCTTCCCTCCCTCCCTCCCTTCCCTCCTTCCTTCCTCTCTCTGTCTCTCTGTCTCTCTCTCTTTCTTCAATGGAGTCTCACTCTGTCACCCAGGCTGCGTGCAGTAGTGGTGCAATCTCGGTTTACTGCAACCTCCGCCTCCCAGGTTCAAGTGATTCTCCTGCCTCAGCCTCCTGAGCAGCTGGGATTACAGGCGCCCATCACCACGCCCAGCTAATTTTTGTATTTTTAGTAGAAACAGCGTTTCACCATGTTGGCTAGGCTGGTCTCGAACTCATGACATCAGGTGATCCACCCCCACCCCCTCGGCCTCTCAAAGTACTGGACTACAGGTGCGAGCCGCTGTGCCCAGCCTCTCTCTCCCTTTTTTCCCCCTTGATCCTCTGACTCTCTGTGCTTGTCTTTTCCAGCGTCTCTTCGAAGATTTCCCTGGGGAGAAGCACTGTGTTTACCCAGAAGGGAGTCGGGTTCCCCAGGAGCTCTCGGGGATCATTCCCCAGCGATGGGGAAGACAGCAGGATGCAGGAGGACTTGGGGCCTTATTGATGAGATGCGGACACACAGCGAAGAGGTGTGGGGGTTAAGTGGGAATCGGCGGGCACTTTTGAGAGTGACGCGGGGCTGTGATGAGATGGTGGTGCTGGGCAGCAGCTGAGGGATCCAGGAAGACTCGGGAGCTGCCTTTGAACTTGGGCCTAGAAAGCTGAGCCAGGCGTAGGTCAGGCGGAGAGGCCATGAACATGCCTGGTCTGTGCACATGGGAAATGGCAGGCAGTGGTTGGGTGGTTGGTATGGGCTGGAGGGCAGGGGTGTGTGTGTGGTGGAGTGGAGGGAGAGGAGGGGGAAGTCGCTGGGTAATCAGGGAGATGACAGGAATGAAGTTTGGCTCAGCACCTGCTTGGCCTGGGCACTGCAGGTAACATACAGATAATTATTTTTTCTTTTGAGCAAGGTCTTTTTCTGTTGCCCAGGCTGGAGTGCAGTGGCACCATCATTGCTCATGGCAGCCTCAACCCTCCTGGGCTCAAGTGACCCTCCCACCTCAGTCTCCCCAGAAGCTGGGACCACAGGCATGAGCCACTGCTCCCGGCCAACCCTTTTCTTTCCCTTGCATTAAATCTAATTGTCACCTTACATTGCCCAGCCCCCATCACTGCAGGGATGAAGACTGCTTTGGTATTCAGTATCCTCTCTGGGTGCTCCTTCACACTTGGTCCACACTGACCTCAGCATCTTCTTCTCAGGACCTGCCATCCTCACAGACACCAAGTCTGACGTTGCACAGCCCAGTGACCAGGCCCTATCCCTCTGCCTCCTCTCTCTGGGGGATCCCTTCCTCTCTGTCCCCACAACCCCAGCCCCGGCTCAGAGCTACGTCTCTCCCACCTGGACCAGGCCTCCATGGAGGGGAGCACTGGCCCCTGAGTGCAATGAGGGCCTGAACTCCTGGGTCTGAGGCAGGAGGGGCTGGGGGCCTGGACTCCTGGGTCTGAAGGAGGAAGGGCTAAGGACCTAGACACCTGGGTCTGTATCCCTCGCCTGACCCCAGAGAGGCCTTTCTATGCCTTGTGCTGACCCTGCCCCTCCTCTCACAGCCCTGTCCCCATCTCCCTTGGGACCAAGTCCCAGCCCCTGAGCCTGGTGTTTGGGAACCTGCAGCATCCAGAGAAGCACTGGCAAATGAAATGTGATGCCAGGCATGCATGCGCATTTATGTTTCCAATACCACACATTTTTTTTTTAAGTAAAAAGATTTAAGTGTCCTTACCACAGAAAATAAGGGTGTGAAGTAATGCCTATGTTACTTATCTTGATTTACCCATTCCACAATGCATACATACACGTATCAAACATGATGTTATACACCAGAAACAGATACGATTTTTACTTGTCAATTAAAAAATAAACTTAAGGTCAGGCGTGGTGGCGCATGTCTGTAATCTTAGCACTTTGGGAGGCCGAGGTGGGTAGATCGCTTGAGTCCAGGACTTCACAACCAGCCTCGGCAGCATGAGAGCCCATCTCTGCAAAAAGAAAAAACATTAGCGGACATGGTGGCGCACACCTGTAGTCTCAGCTACTCAGGAGGCTGAGGTGGGGGAATTGCCTGGGAGGTCCCGGCTGCAGTGAGCTGTGATTGTGCCACTGCACCCCAGCCTGGGCAACAAAGCAAGACCCCTGACTGAATAATAATAATAAATATATTCAAAAGAAAAAAAATTAAAAAGAAACAGGAGCACCTAATAGTTCATTGAATTCAATATATTCAAAATATTATATGAAATAAAAATAAGAAAATTAGTAAAGGGATTATTTGCCTTCTTGCTTTTTGGCACCCTGAGTGTTTGGAATCTGTCGTGTCATATATATTTACAGATGTCTCGGTTGGAGCTCATTTTAAGCCATCAAGAGCCCTGGACATGGCTGGACAAGGTGGCTCATGCTTGTAATCCAAGCACTTTGGGAGGCAGAGACAGAAAGATCTCTTGAGCCCAGGAGTTCAAGACCAGCCTAGGTAATATAGTGAGCTATCTCTAAAAAAAAAAAAAAAAAAAAATCTCCTAAATGTGATGACACACATCTGTGGTCCCAGCTATGCTGGAAGCTGAGGTGGGGAGTTTCTTGAGGCTGGATGCTCAGGCTGCAGAAAGCCATCATCATGCCACTGCCCTCTAGTGTGACAGAGCCAGACCCTGTCAAAAATTTTTTTAGAAAGAGGCCTGAGTGGTGAGTGGCCCCCACGCTGCATGGCACAGCTATGCCTACTTCCCCATGTGGCTCCCGCTTTCTAGGTCACATCAAGCTTCCCTGACCCATGCCATGCCCTCTGGCCTCTCCTATTCTCCCTTTTTTTGAGATGGAGTCTCTCTGTCACCCAGGCTGGAGTGCAGTGGCGCGATCTCCACTCACTGCAACCTCCGTCTCCTGGGTTCAAGCCAGTCTCCTGCCTCAGCCTCCTGAGTAGCTGGGATTAAAGGTGCATGCCACCATGCCCGGCTAACTTTTGTATTTTTAGTAGAGATGGGGTTTCACCATGTTGGCCAGGCTGGTCTTGAACTCCTGACCTCAGGTGATCTGCCCGCCTCGGCCTCCCAAAGTGCTGGGATTACAGGCGTGAGCCACTGCACCCGGCCTATTCTCTCTTCTTAGCACGTTTTCCCCACCTTTTCCTGTCAGTAACCTGTCCTTCAAGTTTTTGCCTGGACATCACCTCCTCCAGGAAACCTTCCCTGAACACCACCCAGCCTCCACCTGCTGCGGTTGGATTACTCATTCTGTCATGTAAGTTCCCACAGCTGGTGTCTCGGTCAATCTACCCTGGACTGGGGCCACCTGCATTGACATTCATTGTCTCTTCCACTGGACCATGAGCTCCTTGAGGGCAGGTACAGGGTTGATTCATTCCTGTGTCCCAAGCACCCACATAGGACCTGGCCTGGAAGAAGCCTTAGGAAACACGACCAGATGACTAAATGACTTCCTCACACCCACTCCCATTTTACAGATAAGAAAACCGAGGCTCAGAATGGAAGTTCATTGCTCAACATCAAACACCCAGGAAATGATGGCGCCTGAATGGGAGCTCAACTTCCAACATGGCCCATCCCTTGCTGACCTCACTGGGTCTGTCTTATGACAGTATGAGGTGAGTGAACTTGAGAGGAATTGTTGAGAGCTGGGTGGGGAAAGAAGGGAGGTGTTAGGCTGTGGGGAGTGGAAGACTTTGAAAAGAAAGAAATTCCTAACTCTACCCCTTCTCTGGTGACCTTTGTGGTTTGCCATCTCCGCATTCCTTGAATGCCCATTTACTGGATATTTTGCTCCAGATTGACCTGTTCTGCAAAAATCTTCCATAAATAAATCCTTTTGTCTGGGTACAGTGGCCCACACCTATGACCCCAGCACTTTGGAAGGCCGAGGTGGGAGGATTATTTGGAAGGCTTGGGAGTTAGAGATCAGCCTGGAACGTAGTGAGACCCCATCTCTACTAAAAATAAAAATTAAAAAAAAAAATCAGCCAGGCATGGTCCCAGCTACTTGAAAGGCTGAGATAAGCTTGAGCCCAGGAGATTGAGGCTGTGGTGAGCTATGATCATGCCGCTGCTCTCCAGCCTGGGCGACAGAGCCAGGCCATATATATACATATATACATTATATGATTTATAAGGATATAAATCTTACAATATAAGGATATAAGGAGAGAGATATTATATATATATATATATATATATATACACACACACACAGTGAAAGTATATATTATATATATATTCCATATATATATGGAATATTATATGTTCCTTATAAATAATTTACATATTATATAGTCCTTAAAAATTATATATATATATAAATTATATATATGTAATCCTTATAACATATAATATATGTTTGAGCACTTTCTATGTATTAACTTATTGAATCTCTGTAATAACCCTAGAAAGTAGGTGCTCTTCCTCCCATTTCAAGGATGAAGGAACAGGAACGGGGAAAGATTGAGCTTCAAGGCAAATAGCTGGTAGGGGCTAGAACTGGGATTTGAACCCAAGAAGCCAGGATCCAGAGCTAGTCCCTTGACTATCACACTATCCTGCCTACCCGAAGAAAAGTGAATTACTTAAAAAAAAATTCAACATTAGTAGCACCTCAGTCACTGCAAACCAATCTACCTGCACCTTGGATATAGGAGAGCAGAGGGCCAGGGCCAGGGATCTCCAGGCTGACCTAGTGCAAATGCAATGTTTTGTTACTTTTAAAATTCTGGATTGAGTATTGGAGTGGCTGGCAGAGAGGAAAGGGAGTGTTGATAAAACTTCAGGGCGATGGGTGGTCAAAAATTTTTGACATTCTTTAAACTTGACAGGCCCAGAAACAGAAGGGGCTGGGCACCTGGACTCCTGGGTCTAAGGGAGGAGGAACCGGGGATCTGGACTCCTGGGTCTGAGGGAGGAGGGACTGGGGGGATCTGGACTCCTGGGTCTGAGGGAGGAGGGGCTGAGGGTCTGGACTCC